GTGATCCACCCCAAACATTTTTTTCTACCCTACAAATAATTTATATGGCAAAACAACGTTTGCCGGGTCAACTAGTAGTAATATAAAAATATCTTTAACATCACTAATATACATGTGACAGCAATAACATATTGAGACAATTTAAAAAAACTGCACTGGCCACTTACAGAACAAATTTCGAATAACGAACTTATTACTATTACATTCTGATGATATCAGAATGATCTTCTAAATGATCAGAATGATCAATTCGAAGAGTTTAACCATCCCTTTGGCAACTCAAATGACATTTGAAAAGCCATTTGACAGACGATTAGTTAACATCTACGATGATCAGTGTTTCAGAAACCGGGCATTAGTTTATTACGATGATATTTTTGACGGTGTCAAGATAAGCCGTTTAGCTCATTGGCTCGAGCGTTCGGTGCGTATCCCAGAGGAAGCAGGTTCAAATACTCGGCGACTCTGCGGCGACAACGTTATCGTCCATTTTTCAAAAAAAATTATATTTTAGTATAACGGATGGATTGGATTAGATTCTTTTTTTTTATAACCAGTCATCCGGTCCATTTTTCTTATCGTTAGACGGACTGGATATTAAAAAAAACAGAATTTCATCTTAAGTGCAGGGAATGACACTATAAAAATTAATATCATGCAAAATACCCTGATATTGATTTTAATTATTAGATTAATCGACTATTAAGTTTTTATCATCGTTAAAGCCATAGCCGTAGTCCGAATTGTAGATAGAATTGCCAACGTCCTCTCTGCAAAGTAGTCTCTATTGTGCAACGATTGACACTCACCGACGACTTGAATATTACACAATTTATTGGGCCATAATACTATAACACTCAACCCATAAGAATAACACATATATATGTTTTTTTTTTGGTGAACAAGTTTATTTTCTCCTAATATATAATACCAAGATATCTCCGAAAAAATTAGGTAAAAAATTTAGAGATTATAGAACTCGCTCACTAATTCAACAGCCAAAACTTTATTTTTAGTTTGTTTAGCACATTTTATTCGCGTTTTTATTAAAAAAAGCTTTCGATTTAATCTAACGTTTACAATTTATCGATTCATCACTTGCATATCAGGCGCGGATCTAGAGTATAATTTGAGGAGGCGGGTAAGAGACCGAAGTAGTCTTTTATGTTAAGTGATAAATTGTTTTTCATAAGTAATCAAAAATTAATTTGGTTCGATGGGCTCATAGCCCCAATGACCTCTCCGTAGATTCACGTTTGATATTTATTGTCTTACTACTACTATTCGCTTGATATTTATGAAGAAACTAAGAAACTAATTAATAAATAAAATTCAGGGCGAGAATTTGAATGTTTTGTATTTTATTTAATTAATTTTAACCCATTGAAAAATTAAATCTTGTAACAAGTCCTTCAAAACATACTGTTTTTAAATTAAATCTCTCCAAACACACATACCTATTATTACCACAGCATACTGCCGTAATATCTCTGTACGCACCAGCAACATTTTAACCACTCACATATAAAAAAATCTGTTTATATAACTACTGGCTCTATAAAAAAACAACGAATATTATTCTTAAACTACGACTGCGATCTATGGCATCACTTTACGGTTTACGGCCAGCATTTTAACTGCACACTGCGAGCCACGCTTAAAGTAGTAACCACAACAAAATAAACCAAGGTCCTTTCACCGATTGGATCCCATACATTGCGTTTTTTTATTAAACAGCCTTAGAGATTCACATACCAATGTTTTTCCGCGAAATTCGTATTAGTGACCTTGTGGTGCAGGAACTTATGGAATATAAAACATTCAGTCTGTTAAATAAAAACTGTTGCTTCTAAAAATTTTTGTATAAATTTTAACAAAAAAAAACTGTTTTATATTTATTGTGGCATTGGATAATCTACATATTTTGTGAATTCGTAACTGATAATATCAAATAATAATTTAAAAACTTGTATACTTCTCACATTAAAAAAAATGACGACGCTAGAAATTACTAGATATCGTTTCTTATTATTAAAATTGACGTCGCAATAAAATTACTAACAATGTCCGTTTTCCTAAAAAACTGAACCATAAAAAGAAATTATTTATATTATTAAAGTAGGTAGGTATGTGTAAGAGTAGGTCAACGAACTCATTGTCAGCGATTTTGTTGACATTGACACGTAAATATGTGTCAATGACAATTTTTTTATTATCAGTTTCTTTATAAACGGATAAACGATAAGGCAGGCGGATCTTTAAGAATTTTAATAAAGAGGATTTTTATATAGTGTTAATCCATCCGTCTTTTCTTTATTCGGTGTGTCGAGTAATCGAGTCACTCAATGATATGATATACAAATACGAAGTAGATATGACACTAGCGCACCGAAACTGAGGCACTCAAATTACTCCAATTGGTGTAATTAGACTGCAATTCTAGAGTGCTATCTCTTTCCATATCATGCGTTCTGTATCATCTGTCACATTAATTTATATATGAGATGTAATGTAAAGCGGAACAATTTTTAAACACCGCGTAGAATGGATATGCGTCATTTCTATTAAAACATCATTGGATAGATGGTAAAATTAATAATACGTTTTCGTTTTACTTTGGTTATGCAATATAACTATTATAAGTAAATGCTTTTAAGTCTAACAATAACATTCAAATGTACATATATATTCAAATATGAGTGCCAATGAAAATGTTAATTTTAAGTGCTGACTTATCACTTGCTCGGCGGTGAAGGCATCGTGGGGAAACCTGCATATTTTTGAAATAATAACAAAACAATATTTCGAAGATAAATGTGAAGTCCGCTAATCCGAAGTGGGGCCGCGTGGTGGACTATGCCCTGATAGCCTCTGTACGGAAGAGGCCTTTTCCCAGCAGTGGGGCATGTAAAGGTCGATACTTTACCCTAAAAGTGCATAAAAATTATTATGCTTAAAATTAATATAATACTGACAGAACCCAGTAGACTACAGATGGCGACTTACGACATAGAAGGCGCTTGTACAAGTTAAGTCCTGGAAACAGGAAATCTTAGCAACTTCTGAGGTAACATCGTACAGGCCAATTTATCATCCGTAATATGTACGGTTGCAGAATATTTAGCGCAAAATCGATGGCTTGTTGAAAACAAAACTACCTAAAGAAGCGAACAGTCAATATGGCTTTAGGAAAGGAAGAAGTACAATAGATAGTTTGCGTATTAAAGACTAATATACGATTTCCTTGTATCTGCCTTTTTAGATATAAACTCTGCATGTGACAGTGTTCTTCCGCATTTTTCTTTCCAGAAATGAATTTGATTTAAAAGTGCTTAATGTATTAATAGTAACATCATCTACACAGATAAATAAAATTGGAGTATCTGTGTGTAATATTAAAATAACTGCATTTTACTAAATGTATATGGATGTATACACGGTACATATTACCAAAATATTTTTTTACAATTTTTGTCTGTCTGTTTATCTGTTTGTTTCGCCTAATCTCAGAAATAGCTCGACTGATTTTGACGGGATCTTCACTGGCAGCTGCTGATGTAATGAGGAGCAACTTAGGCTACTTTCATTTTAGAATTTTTATTTATTTTAAATTCCATGCGGATGAAGTCGCGGACACAGCTAGTTTATAATATACATGCGAAACCATATGATTTTCTTTTAGAAAATGGAAATCAAATCCAGAACATCGGTTAAAAAAGCTTTGTGAGTGCTTAAATTATACACTAATTGTGAGCGTTTGCTGTGAATTTTCTGCTTCTAAAATCACCACTGTAATATTTCCCAAAAAGTGTGTTCTTCCTAAAATACATGTTTCTTATAAAAAACCGTCCGATTATAGTTATAAATAATGCAAATTATTTAGATTTAATATTACATTCAAACTAACTGGCACCTATACCACGTTCTCATTATATACCAACGTCATCTCTTTAAAGTTAGAGTACCTCGCTGTCAGCTTTACGAATAATATCTTGTGTAAAGGAATTCAACCTTATTAATGCTCTTCACGTGGAATGCGGAAATCCGGCACTGTACTTAAGAAGACAATATTCTGATAATTTCTTGTTTCGTTGTTTACAACTTTCCTTACAAATTACCGTATCTTTTCAAAAGTTACTAAAAATGTTTTGGCATTGAAGGCCCTATCATGCCAAAACTCTTAGATAATGAAATATATTGTTTGAAACGGATGAAACGACGGAACGGATCGAAACGGATGAACGAATTTTTTATGTGAGAAGGTGACAAGCGAGCTGGCGTTTCACTTGATGTTAAGTGATAATCGCCGCCCGGGGACGTTTGCAACATCCGTAGAGCTGCAAATACGTTGCCACCATTTAATAGAGTGGGCCCCGGCTACCTCACTCCCCAGACGAAACGCAGAAGTATAACACTTCCATTTCACGTCGGTATTCTGTGAGGTCTTGGTACTTGCGTGGCCCTACCACAGTTAAATATGTTGACAAATAAGGATATTTGTCACTGAATAATATGACTTCATTTACAAACTCATCTGCCATCATACTTAAGGGAATCTTGGGCACCTTACTGGTCATCTCCTAGTTGAGTGAAATGAAAATGCTATTCCTTTGTTCAACCACGTTCAATGACACACCATAGCCAATTTAAACAAATATTGATAGTAGTTCTTTGGTCCGTTTGCGATTAGGTCACTGCTTTTCTCCGTCTATTCTCATTAAAATTGATAACTTTTTATGTACTTGTGGAACGGAAGAATGAAATTTGAATTATATTTTCTTTTGTTGTCTTTCACCGCTCCTCCTTTTTTACTAATCTCCTAATTCTCCCAATCCACCTTTACCTACAGTTTGCAATTTTCATAGTCCAGCAACTTTGGTAATGATCAGTTCAACATTTTTTTTTGCATTATAAGGCTAACTACCTCGGACTATATGTATGAACCAAAGAAGAAAATTATTCACTGCATAAATACTTGGAATGTATGCTTTGTAATTGTAATGGATAAAGCTAAGGCTTTCAGTTTTGATGATGATGTGGTGTGTTTCAGTTTTATATCTGTAAATGAGCAAATCATGAGCATCTAAAAAGTTTAAAACATGTCTCGAAGGCGTAAAGCATTTGTAAATAATTCATTTTCATCGTATTGTTATGTGATTTTCAGTTGTCACCTCAAGAGATATTAGCTATAGGTCAACGGTCATACTCTGGGTCTAATGAAGAAGGAGTTCTTAACTCCAACTTAAGCACTGTTAAAAGAGCACTTGTTCCATTATCCAGTCTGGTGTCACCTAAAATATTAGATCTGAGTGAGTCTTATTTTTTAAACAAGTTGTTGTTTAGATATTATATTAAATCTATACTTTATTCACAATTTTTAGTTTATAAGTATAGTGAGTTTGAGAGCCTTTCAATGAAAAGCAAACATTTTAATAGAGTACTTTTCTACTCAGACATTGTCAAAAAGATAAGTAGATAGTTGTTGTGCCTGTCCCACAGCTATTAGATAATTATAAATTCTATGTCTAAGTAACAATACTAGTCGTCGCCCTAGTGGTGGAAATTCCAGACCTGAATAATTATACATAGTGTGAATAATGTTTTTTTTTAATGATGTAATATATTTTTTTATCCATAATTAAAAAAAAATATTAGCATTCTGCACTCCTTCTCTACATAAACTATCACTGTGGGAAATTTCATTCTCCTCCGTCCGTGTAATTTCCGTAAAATGGGTACAAAGTTTTTGCTTCACATATTAATATATAGAAAATATGATTAATTATTTGAATTGTATCAGTTAGCTAAAATCCTCGTGATTTGAAAGAAAAAAAAATATTGTACCTCTCCTAAATTATTCTTATCTCATGATTACCTTAAAAATTTATAAATTATATATCTAGGATCGGTCATAGCAGATATCACAATAGGTACCTTTCAGTACTTACAGGGATGTTATGATCATTATCTTAATCCTAAATAGATTAATAAACATAGAGAAATTAACAAATACAACAAAATCTTCTTATACTTCTATAGGAACTTTATCTATGAGTAAAATGACCTTTAGTCGTAAACCTAAAATAAAAGGAATAAATAACGACAAAATCAGGAAATACTTATAAAAATCAGTCGACAGATTTGTTATTAACACTGAATGTTAATAACAAATCTGTCGTTTTCGTAAATCATATTCTATAATCGACTATCTAATCTACTCAGAATCATCGTCATTGTCCGGAAGAGAGTCTTTAACGTTTTTTTTTTTTATGGAAAAAGGAGGCAAACGAGCATGCGGGTCACCTGATGATAAGTGATCACCGCCGCCCATGGACAGGTTGAGTCGGTTGAGTTGACATCAGTTGAGTCGCAATTGCGTTGCCGGCCTTTAAGGTAGGATCGAAGTTAGGTTAGTAGTTAGTAAGGTTGGCCGAATCTGTGCTTTATAAAGCTGCAAACGATGTGCCGGTAGGAAATACTGTCTCGCTCGGTTTAGGATACCGAGTTTTTTAGAAGCCAGCTTGGCTTTTCCTTCCAAATGACCGCGATATAGTCACTCTTACCGTTTAGATTTCTATGAAATTCATGAGCTCTTTCATGGCTAATAATTGTACTAGATCCTTCTTATTTTCTGTTGAAATGGGAATCTTGGAATGGTAAGCTTTTGGTACCGTATAAATTCCTACCATATAGTACACTTTACCGCGTTTCAATAAATTCATTCATGTTTTCCACCGTTCTTGAGCCCTATTTTGTAAGAAATACAAGGAAAGTTGCCTTAAAGATACATAATCGATATGACATCAGACTACAGAAACTTTTTAATGTCTGTAGTTGTTCTGGTAAGGTTAAAAAAAAAGACCGAAGTCGTAAAACATATTCAGAGTCATTTCAATCACAGTAAACTTTGCAGATTTATTTGAAGCTGTGCAGATACTGGATCTACCAATCTCTTGGCAGATGAATATCTATGCCCGTGTGCTTCTTTTTATGCTCAATCAGCGCATGCTTCCATGTCAGTATGGCTAGGTACTAGAAATTTATGTTCGATGGATTGTAATTGATATCAGGTATTAACTTTTCTAAGTTACTCGCATAAAGTCTGAAGATACTTGTATTGTGGTTTTTGTCAAAAGTCTTCAAAAAACATCCTTTACAAATTGCTTGTTTTGTTATGATCAAACCCGTGAAAGAAGTATCGAAAAAATCTAGCGTTCCGTTTTTTCTTGGGATATTTGGACGTCTTTTTTTTGAAATTTCAAGACTCTAGTATGTTTTGAACAGAGTGTTCCTTAAATGAAACGGTAGTCTCTCTTTGCATTTCTGACGATAGTTGTTTAGATCACGTAAGGCACGAGTTCTTCTTGTTTTTCCTGATGTTGTTGTATATTTCAAGGCGTTACGAAATAGTTTATTTATGTGAGAAGGCACGCGAGCTGTAGGTTCACGTTATGTTAAGTGATAGATAGCTACCGGTTATGGACATTTGCAACTTCTGTAGTGTTGCAGATGCGTTGCAATCTTTTAATAAAGTGGGCTGTGTCAGTCACTTCACTCCCACACATAACCGCCACCCTATTATACATACATCATATTATAATGGTACAAATTAAAACAAGGTGTTGTTTTAATTTGTATCATTTTATACTAAAGTTCGTAGTAAATACTTTTTAGAAAATGTTTGCATTTCCGATACAACTCAATTTATTTTAGTGTTCAGATAAGGATAGATATTGTGTGGAATGATGCATGTTGAGATGTATCATTCAGCACAAAAGTAGGCGAAATTAATATTCAGATCGGTAAGTACATGTCAAGTTGTACCCTGCAAATAACAAAATAAACTTAGGTTCAAGTTGATGTAACTGGAATAAAATTATTATTCACGAAAAATCATTAGAAAATCAAATGTGACAATTGATATTATAGTAGTTTATACCACAAAGTCCGAAAAAAAAATGTGTGGAGTGATACTTTACTGCTGTTATATCACGACTAAAATCTAAATTCACGATTTTTTCATCCAAAATCCCATTAGTTATATCACTTTGCACAAAATTATCTCGAGATCTATAGCAGATAGAAACACGTGAGTTAGACCCAAAGCTAGCTTATTTTTTACTGATTGCTTATGTGTTAAAATCAGGGAACAGAAAAAATCAGAGAAAAAGGGTGTGTTAAAATCAGAGAAAAAGGGTACAACTCGAGTTGTATCACTGATCACAGGAGGCACAGAATTATAAGTATTAGTAGCATGCTCAAATATTTACTGTAGTACAATTATGAATTATTATTTTATTTTCTTTTTTTATTTAGTATTTTTTCATATAGATAGACATATAACCCTTAAGAATAATTTTATAACTGTGCTTTACTTGTCAATATTTCCTTCACTTTTTCAGTAACAGCTTTTGAAGTGAATTAATTTTTTATAAAGATTTACCGAATAATCCTTAATATATTCTCACTTTTTTACATACTAAAAATTATTTTGTGCAACTAATCAAATAAACCATTGAATTTAACCAACAGTTATCCTCGCACAATCTGGCAAAGACTCTGCTAGGGAATTGAAACAAAGCGAAGCGGAAGAGACTGTGGATGTGACATTGAAGCGACTTGTGCTGGGCCGCAGTTGCTCCTTGCATGTACATCGCAGTCTGAAGAGCAAGACTGATCTTTTGGATGGGGCTATTGCAATCGGCGATGGCAATGCCATACTAACTGTCGGTAATTTTTTTTAAGTTTAATCTTGATTAGTTTCAAACTTTTTTAAACTCTGTAAACTACCATGAGTTACTAAATGTTATAACGTAATATAACCACATTTTTCACACAACCTTAACTAGTTTTATTCTAAATAATACTTTTGTGAGAAACAAAATATAGTGTACTTACCCATTCTTAGGCAATATTATGTATAATTCCTAAAAGTTAACTGATATGAATATATTGAACTTGGCAGTATTTCTCCCTGAACAAATCCTGTGGTGTCTTAAGTGTATATATTGAATATAAAAAATATTACTGTTCCTCTTAACTGCATCATGATTATTCCACTTTATTTAAAACTTAACTTGTTAATTCAACTTGATTACCAGAAATACTAAATAACACGATCATTGTATGAAATTGAATGTATGGAATAATTGCATGAAATCACACACAATTTCTTTAAAAAGTCCAATAGAATGAAATACATACTGTTATTATTTGTTAATATTATCATAGAATATTAATGTTTAATACACCCATTTTAGTTATTTATTCCATCAGACAAGTATAATTACATTATTATTATGTTTTATCTAAATGTGTATAAATGTGTGTAAGAAAATGTAGTAATACATACTACAGTAAAAACATAAACAATAAAATATTCAAATCTAAAACTATCTACCTATATATTGATAATTTTAAATGAAAATAAATTATTATACCCTATAACTGTAGCCGAATGCTGTCCGGTGATTCTTAGCACCCTTCTATTATATTAAACATAAAATAAATTAAATCTTAAATTATGTGGAAAGTCTTCAAACTTCGTGCACGCTGGGGTTCTAACTCGCATTCTTAGGTTGAATATTCCAGAGCCGCAAAACCAGCCCTAATTTCTTTACCAGAATATTACACGACTGTGATCATATTATATATTCTCTACTTTCATTAGTAACAATGGCTTTGGTTTTATTCATTGATGAATTATTATCGTTTGTCCATCTTATGTCCGTTTAATATTGCCCACAGGTTGTGCTGTTCCTCATACAAACATTAAACAAGAAGCTGGTCTACGAAATGCTTACGTCTAGACCCCTCGCGCTTGGACATTACATTGGAAGCCTGCAATCTGAAGGAAAGATCTCCGAGCTGACTGATTTATTAACGTAAGCTTTAATACGGATTGTTTTATGTAACAAGGTGGTAAGAGAACTGGCGGATCACCTGATGGTAAGTGATGACCACCGCCCACGGACATTTAAAACAACCGTAGCGTTGCAGATGCGATACTACCTTATAATATATTGGACGCCGGCTACCTCACTCACCAGACGAAATGCAGAAGTATATCATTTCCACTTCACGCTGGTCTTCGATGAGGTTGTGATACTTACCCGGACGGACCTGCCCATTCATGTAACAGGGAAGATTGTTGCTTGGTCCTTAAATATAGGTACGATTACTCCCAGAATCAAACTAAAATAAATAAAAATAAAGTATGTGTGTTCTTATGTAGGCACATAAAAAAGGTTATTTTTCTTTAGCGTAAAGACATTAAATGAAATTGATAACGGTCTATTTAAATAACTTGAAATCATTGGTAAATGTCAGAAAGCTATTATTGGTTGCCAAGACTAAATTGTTAAAAAAATTACTATTATTTAAACGAAAACTTGAAAAGTATAACTTCAAAAAAAAAACGCAGTGTTAATCCCTTTCTCTATGTCGAAAAACCAACAAATGTACTTCGTAGTTAAGTTAAGGATATGTGTATATTAATATTTCGTAATATTTCCCGTAATTTGAGATACGTTTCTGTTATTTCAGAATGCTGGGGCGTATACCAGACTCGGCTGTAAGTACTATCGTGAATCTAGTTGGGTAGCCATTAATTTGCTTAAATTAAAGTTGAACGTAACTTACAATAGTGGAATACATAATATCTCTTGCGAGATTGTTATACTTTTATTGATTCAATGATTGATTTTTAATGTTAACATTTGATCATCATTTGAAGTCTAGATTTTGTCTAATCTAATGAACTCACTTTTAAAATTCATCTTGAGTGCAGATTAACAATGAACATAAGAAATAATCGTAAATAATTTCTTTAATTTAACTGGTAGAGGCAGTCTGTGGGGAAGGCCTATGTTCAGCTTCGGACTCAAACAGGCTGAAATGATGTTGAACTGGCTGTAGTAATAGTAGTATAGTAGAAGAAATTAAAGTTCGCCATTTACAAGATGTTTCTACAACTTCGGCAATACCACACATCCATAGATCAATCAGTTCCAACAAGTGGTTAAGAGCCAAGGCAACAACTTGGAGGGCCTGCTCCGCAAACTGTCCAACCTTTTGGCCAACCATTTCAACCAGGCCGGTGTGGACGCGCACCAGGCGAGAATGGTCGCCGATTACGTCAAATTATTGGGTAAAACGTTGATAATGTCTTAAACTTTGAACCAAATATACCAAACATTCCAACAAACTTGGCTACAATTTTGTTGAAATATTTGCTATTTAATTCATGATTTTGCTGAAATATAAACTTTTTTTTATTTGAGCACATGTATGTTTTACATTTTTTGTCCGTCTGTATGTTTGTTTATTCCGGCTCATCTCTGAAATGGCTGTACCGATTTTGACAGGACTCACTGGCAGATAGGTGTTGTAATAAAGAGTAAATTAGGCTACTTTTATTTTAGAAATTTTAATTTTTAAATAAATGTAGTCTAATTTAATAATGTTTAATCGCGCAAATACAAGGAACTATTTTATTAATGGATATTTATTTATGACGATAAGTGATCACCGCCGCAAATGAACACCGGCAACTTGCAACACCAGACGGCTTTAATATGCGTTGTCGGCCTTTTAGGAAAGATTATCTTCTTGATTATGCTCCAATGTTCAGAGTGGCAGACTCTCGCCAAGCGGAGCGAGCTGAACAACAAATCGGCACTAGAGTGCCTAGCTTATTGCTGCACTAAGCATTGGACGGAAGGCGCAGGCGCTATGATGTCGCCGCTCACGCTTTGCCAGAGGCAGCAGGTTTGTTTTTTTTTTATTCAAGAAGGTGGCAAACGATCTTTCGGTTCACCTGATGTTAAATGATAACCGCCCATCGACATTTGCAACACCCATAGGGTTGCAGATGAGATGCCACCTTTTAATAAAATAGGCCCCGGCTAACTCACTCACCAGACGAAACGCAGAAGTTGGACCGGTGTGAATTGGAAGTGTTACACCTTCCAATTCATGCCGGTCTGCTGTGAGGCCGTGGTACTCACCCGGACGAACATCCCCCCCTAAGTTATAAATATATTATTTGTGACGTCCCTTTCAGAATGTGCCACGTGTTTCCGCCGAATACCAAACCACGCGTGTTCAACCAGCTTGAGAGTTTCATTCGTAACTTTTTTTCTTCATGTAATAACATTTATCTGCCTAAAACATGGTACAATACATTGAGAAGGCTTAATGTTTTATATTGTATTCCAGACGAGTTCAAAAACGGATGAAGTTATCAATTCGACTGTATTTTTTTAGGTTTGTTACCTCAGAGCTTGTGAGTTAACCGATTTTGATGATTCTTTTTTTATTTGGAAGCTGATGCTTCCCATGTGGTCCCATTGATGGATCTTGGGCTTCGAGGATACTTAGGGAATTCTTGGAAATCAATTATAAAATGAATACAGAGCAAGATATTTGAAGTCGGTTTGGTTTTTGGTTAATAAAGAAAATTACTCGTGCATTACTATTTCATTAAATATTATTAATAAAAATGGAGACCACGTGACGGCAAGCGCAGCGTAGGAAGGCCTCCCACAAGGTGGAAGGACGAGCTAGCCAAGATCGAAGGGACGCGTTGGATGCAGGCCGCTAACGACCGGTCGAAGTGGAAATCAATGGGGGGGGCCTATGTTCAGCAGTGGACGTCCTACGGCCGATACGATGATGATGATGATGAATAAAAATGGCATTCGTACTCTGTTAAATTTCCATTGTACGAGGTGGCCGTTTTCTAAGCCAAAGTTAACTGTTTCAGATCAGCCCGCTACAGTTCGACTGGGTCGTTTTGAACGTGCACGCGATTTCGAACAAATGGGACATTGTGGAGTCGCTGTTCACTAAGAAGGTATTTTTTTTGCGATTTTAATGTAAATACTACGAAGAAAGACGAGCTTATAACGTCCGTTATCAGACCCCATAATTCGTTCATGGGGCGGTGTATACGCTTCTACATGATCCCAGTAGATGCGCAAAGCCTGCCTATTAACAGGTTTAAAAAATGTATTAAAGGAAAACTATAAAAGGGGTTATTATAATATAAATTAATATATTCATAACAATTATGCCTTGGAATGAGAGAGATCGCTTCCAAGCTATTTGTAAAAAAATGGTTTGGGGAAAAAAATTACAAAAAAAGACGATACCCACGGAGTTTCTTTCGCCTGTTTCTTCTCCGTTCGAGGGACCTCATTATGAAACGGTGGGGTATTAAAAAAAAACATGACTATCGGTAGATGGAATTTATGTTCCTTATGTCCACGAATGGGTTATTTTTATGGACAAGATTACTTTTATGTGGGGATTCCTACCCACTAAAACCCCCTCGGACCCCGTGATCTCCTATCGAACGCACAGGTGTCGATACTGGGCGTGAGCACGCCTCGGAGAAGGGTAAACCTTCCCCGATTCCCTCGCCATCTTGCAGCGGCTCGATAAAGGAGGAAGGAGATACCTTAGTCCTGTTCTATGAGCCCGGGACTACAGGGCCAATGGACAAGATTACTGATTTATCTACAAATTGTATATTAATCGATTATCAAACAAGCCGATCGGCCAATAAAGTATCGATCTAATCGTTTGCGTTAGGACTGGCTCGGACGCACCACGGTCTCCTCGCACATACCGATAGAGGCGCTGCTGTCGAGGCTCAGCGCGCTCAAGGCGGACGAGCGTTTGTTGGCCGTGTGCGTCAACCGGATCGCGGGCGCCGACGACCGGCTGAGGCTGGCGCAGAAGTACAAGGTGATTGCGACATTATGTCTATGGTGTTATGGTTCATTTTTCAGCTGGCAGTTCCATAACAGGTTGGCAAGAGGCTGAGGCTGGCGCAGAAGTACAAGGTGATTGCGACATTATGTCTATGGTGTTATGGTTCATTTTTCAGCTGGCAGTTCCGTAACAGGTAGAAGCAAGAGGCTGAGCCTGGCGCAGAAGTACAAGGTGATTGCGACCTTATGTTCACAGTGTTACGGCTCGTTTTTCAGCTGGCAGTGCCGCAACCGGTAGGGGCACAAGGCAATATCTACCTTATCGGTAAGGAGATGCGGTCTCTTTTGATATTGTTGGGATATCTAAATTACGGCTTAGCGTTCTGAATGACATACGCGTCAACAGGATCGCGAGCGCCGACGACCGGCTGAGGCTAGCGCAAAAGTACAAGGTGCCTTATGTCTATTGGATTATGACTCATTTTTCAGTGGGCAGTGCCGCAAGCGGTAGGAGCACAATACAATATCTACCTTATGTGTCAGGCGATGCGGTCTCTTTTGCGATTGTTAGGATATCTAAATTACGGCTCAGAGCGTTGAAGGACATAAGCGTCAACAGAATCGTGGGCGCCGCCCATACGTTGGTGCAGAAGTACAAGGTGATTGCGACCTTTTGCCTATGCTGTTACAGCTCATTTTTCAGCTGGTAGTGCCGCAAGCGGTAAAAGTACAAGTCAATATCTACCTTATCGATGATACTATACGGTCTCTCTTTTAGCGGAGGTTGTGAAGAGAGGTAACTGCGATCTCATACACGCAGCAGTCTAAGCTTTCTGTCTCGCTCCCACGTTCAAGTACAGTTGCGAACAACGCAGCGGAGCATTAGATATTTCCCTTCTTAGACATTAGATATTTTTGTTAAAAGTAATATGACTTTCGAGTCTTTTATTGTAGTGTTGTTGTTTAACGATAGATGACGCGGAGTGTAATAGATAATTGAAAAGGTTGTTAATTAATTCCAAGTTCGTGTAATATTATTTATTATTTACAAGCTATACTAGTTATGTAAAATATTGATAATATTGGATTTGATTCTAAACGTAACTCCATGGTTTGTGAACTGTTTTTTCTTTTAGATTAAATGTTTAGAATATGTCAAAAAATATATATATTTTTTATTTCAGATACACACCGTTGTGATAGACATATTGGCGAAACAAAAAGACAGAGCCGCTCTGATGAATTATAAGATGGCTTTGAACCCACAGTCCGAGGAATACATCCACGCGGAGAACACGCTGAGAGACAGCGTGAGCAATCTTGATTTTAATTGCATTGGGATTGGATCATTCTACCACGAAATCTCTTTAATATCGATATTCTTATAATTCAAGGATCGATTTGTGTTCCTTAACAATAAAGTATTTATTTTATGACATTCTCCTATGCTATTTCGCTTAATTAAAACATACGATACGAATACCGTCGCCTTTTAGCATCACCTTTTTTCCCATTTGAAAATTTGCCAAGCGAGTAGGCGGTTCACCTGATGTTAAGTGATAACCGCCGCCCATGGGCGACTACGAAACCTTACGGGTTGCGGATGCGTTTCCAACATATCATACAAGTGGGCACCGGTTACTTCACTCACCAGACGATAGTTTGCACTTCACGTCAGTCTTCTGTGAAGCAGTGGTACTTCCACGGACAATCCTGCCCATTCCTGCAACAACAGGAGTTGCTCTTTGGCCCTGCCACAGTAGAATTCTTCTCTCATGATGCTCCCTCACAAATGTAGTTGAATTCATCTCTGCTGAATTTCCCACAAAAATGCCGTTTAATATGTAGCTGTTTTCGAAACAAGTCTAAATTATGTAATGACATTTTTCTTTTCAGTCAATTAAATGGAAAAACTAAGAAAGAGGACTCGGAGAAGCGAAGAAAATATAGATTTTTATTATGGCTTACATCGTTCCGAATTAAACATCGTTAATCCATTATTTATTTATCTGTAAAAACCTGAATAATTCAATAGAACAGAATTCTTAATGTTGTTGTTTTATTTTTTACTGTAAAACCAAATAAAAACCGTTCTTCTACATTTATAAAGTGAAAAGGGAAAAAGTTGAGACAAGATTGTTGCCATATTTTTCGATAAAAACAAATAATCTAAACGAAAAAAAAAGTTTTGACTTTAACAAGCACAAATAAAAAATAAAAAAGAGTTACCATAAAACTGTCAAAATGTGACGCTGAGAAAGGCGGGAGACTAACTGTCACTATATTGTAATAACTTGATGAAGTATTAAGAACAAGATTTTTGGGCCTAATATAATGTCGAAAAATACATTTAGCAAAATGATGTGTGGATATGACTTGCTCTGCACTTGCAAATGGCTGCTGCTGATTTTATACCTAACTAATTTTGTTAACTTGTATCATTTAAAAAAAAGAAAACAAGGCTGCAGAGTTTCTTACTGGTTCTTCAATAGACAGGTCTAAATTAATGAACCGGTGGTAATTTTTTTGACGTTCAATAAGAACTTGAAGCTAGCCTATATTAAATAAAGAAATTTTGACTTTGACATAATCCAAAAAATACCAACAGATAGTCTGGGTTAGTACAGTTATGGCGTCATACTCCGTCGATCCTTTTCAATTCATGGTGAACGCTGTAATTTACAAAAAGTTGGGACACTAACTCAATATTAAACACGATAAAACACGCAATACAGTTTTACTATCCGATGTGTAGTGTTTGTGTAAATATAATATATCAGATAAGATACATTATCAACACATTACCGAAGATTAAATGAAAGGAGACAATGATAATAATTAGCTACGAAATTATTAAATGAGTCAATCCTTACTGAATTCTAAAATGATGTTAAGACGGTGTTTATATATCTATAATATGTATTTATTTACAAAAGTATGTTATCAGTTATCTAGTATCCATAGCTTTGCTTTTTAGTATAGACTAGTGGTCGTCCAGTGGTCGAAATTCGACCATAATTAATTTCAATTTTAAGTTTTAACAAAATTAATCTATTTTCAAATTGACCATAGACTCTCGATAAACAAAGTAAATATAAATTTTTGCTTCACGTATTAATATAAACTAGTGGACGCCCAGTGGTCGAAATTCCATAATTAATTAAAATTCCATAATAATTAAATTAAACCATAATTCTCAAATACAATACACAATAAACAAAAGAATGTATATGCGTGTGTGTGTGTCAAATACATGATGGTACTGTGTGTAATGTTTTCTACGAATATGTTGATTTAATGTATTTTATATGCATAATTCAAAAATATATATATTAGCATTCTGCACTCCTCTATATAAACTATAAGTGTGGGAAATTCCATACTCCTCCGTCCACGCAATTTTTGTACCCCACAAAGTTTTTGCTTCATGTAATAATATATAGATAATGTGTAAAAATATGTGCTGAATTACTTATATTTTTATTTTATTCAACGCCGTTCATTCGGTCCCCGCCTCGTCGTCGCAGACCTGGACCCCGCAGAGTTTCAGAACCATTCCGCAGAGGTAGACACAGAGCAGGCATTTCAAACACTTCCAGCAGTCGCACGCGCACGCACAACACATTTTCACGTAAACCAAACTGTTACAAATGAGAAGTTTATGTGTGTCTTTAATGCTCCCTTACGTGGAAAAACACTTTTAAATATTTAAGATTGTGTGTCTTCGTTGCTTCCTTACGTCGAACGGCGTAACAGACTGAAAGTAATCGGTATGCGAGATATAATGCACCTTAGGTAAAACACATTATAAGTTTTATACACTAAAAACTAATTATTGTTTTGTATATATTTAAACCATCGAAATAGATTTGCCACGGGTAAAAGTCTAGTATACGCTTCAAGTCTGTCTGTCCTTGATTAAGATTATCCTGATCTATCTCTACAATTTCATAGATGTCCTTTGTTTCGATACAAAATACTTGTAATAAAAGACGAACAAACCGGTATTGTCACTTAGATTCTTCTTAGTTTTAGTTTGAGTACTTCTAAAGTGAATTTTATATCACCAGTTTGCGCTGAATAATGGGTTTTATCACTTGGGAAACTAAAAGTTTGCAACACTTGGTAAATTATGTTTTTTAACTGAGCGTTAAACTCTCCGCTATATACTAGCCATGAATGTCTCTTCGCTGTAAAATGTTTATTCGCGCCTTACGAGTACTATTTAGACCCCTTATCAATTGTATAGACAATCCGATAAGATAGATGACCTCACTTACCTGCTTGTTTGTTACGATTACGTCGAAATAATTTTCGGGAAAATCGTTTAAACGGAATACATAAAAATAGTAATAGGCAGCCTCGTCCGTGGACTTCCCTGGTACTTACCAGAGCCACACAGAAGACCGGCGTGAAGTGTTAAACTTTCGCGTTTGGTCTGGCGAGTGAGTATCCGGGGAACACTTGTTTAAGTGTTGTCAACGCATCCGCAAGCCATCGGGAGTTGTAGACGTCCATGGGCGGCGGTATTCAGTTAACATCACGTGTACCGCCTGCTCGCTTGACAACTTTTCACAAAGAAAAATCGAATCGTAGCCATCGGAAATCTTTTGATCAATGTCAATCATCAATGTCACTGTCTTATTTATCTTGTGTCGTCTCGTATCCCATAAAGGCACTATAAAAAATATGTCGAAGAGCTTCTGGCGTAATCGTTTCGAACTTATTTCTAGGCTAAATAAAGTGGATGATGTCCAGTAAATCAAGCACATAAGTTTTTTTGAAAAATTATTTATTATTACTCAGTACCTGGTGGGTTTGTTTTTTTTTTTGTAAATCATGTATTTTGAAAATGAAATTTAGATACAAATTACTGAGTAATGAAATATGCATAATATGTTTCGATCTTACCGACGTAATAATAAGAAAATATGAAGTGGTGTTTTTCACAAAAGAAACAACTTTAAAAAAAAAGGGAGAAAAGAACAAAATCATCTGGATCAACAAAAAATAAAGAAAGCAATAATCTGGAATAAAAAAAAAAGTAAAAAAAGAGTGTAAATGATCGTGACACGAACCACGGCTGTTTTGGGGCCGCCCGATTACCGAACGAGCTATTATAACATTTTTATTTGCGGCGAAATTTACCGTCATATTCGAATAATATTTTTCTTTCCCTGAAAACAGGGATAAAAGGACATTTTCTAAAATTGAAACCTAGCTAGAACGATTTTTCACCCCCGAATCTACGCACATACTAAATTTCATGAAAATCGCTGGAGACGTCGCATAACTTTGATTTAGTAAAAAATAAAATTATATAATTATATTGGTTGAACGAATATATATATTCGTTATAATTTCGTAACACCTAATATAAGATACCTAAGATATAGATAATGGATTTGCCTTTCCGAAGAGACTATTATGAAATAAGCGAATGCTGCCCCCCATAGGAATGAAATGAAAGTTATTCGGAAAACAGTGATTATTTTATCTAAGCACAACCTGATTTCAAAGATATGCTGGACTTTATTAATTATTACGAACAAACGATTAACTTAGATATTTGAAAATATTCCAATACTTTATCATAAATAACTTTTGTGCAGTTTGATGATCTCTAGAGCTTTCTTCTTATCGTGCCCTCTTGCCAAAGAACCTTGGAAGTAGTTCAACGATGTGTCCACCTGTATAACGTCGATAAGTAACCACATACGTAAAACATAGTCTCACGCATCGAACTCCGAAAAACGAAGAGTTTCAGTGGCAAATTATTACTCGCTCAGTCATCGTCGCCGAGTTCCGCCAAGCATTCGTCGCAACCGCACATTTGCAGGAGGTAAACGCAACACGAAACGCAGCACACCCATCGCAACGCTCTGCAGCACAATTCGCAACAGCACATTATACAATGGAACTCATCGGTCAACGTAGGCTAGGTATCGGCAGTTTTACGATTAACCTTTCCATTAAACCCTTCCAAGACAGTTGGCGCTCTATATGATATTATGAGACCCTTAAATTGTTCGACATAACTGAATTTTGTCATCCAAGTCATACCGACTTAAGAACAACAGATAATAAAGCTTAGAAGGTAATAAGTCAAGTCTTAAATGACACGTCGTAGAAAAATTTTCACAACAAATCGTATGCACCTAATTTTAAATAAAATATTTATCCTAAAAAAATATTTTTATTCACTTCAATTATGACAGAAAGGTAAAACCAAAAACTACGACAATAGGATACATAACCATTTTTTTATTAACGAAAAACAAAATCGACTTCAAATATCTCGCTCTATGTACAATTTATGATTGATGTTCAGGAGTTCCTTAAGTATCTCCGGAGCCCAAGATCCAATACCAATGAGATTAATATGTGACCACATGGGAAGCACCAGCTTTCAAATAAAAAAAGAATCATCAAAATCGGTTGACCCAGACAAAAGTTCTGAGGTAACAAACATAAAAAAAATACATTTGAATTGAGAACCTCCTCCTTTTGAGGTCGATTAAAAAGAAATAAATACGGAGAAGAATAACCATTATCGTTTAATGGAACGCGTTAATTTTTACTGAGGAATATTATCTATTCGTGTGTCTACACAATGAACAATAAATGAATCAGGCATTACTTCAGGCAATATATTGTCACTTAGTGTAAAATAATTGTAATTAATAATGTAAAAATAATATGTATTGTTACAATATAGGGCCGTGATAGCTCAGTGTCCGGTAGCTCGCCTTTAATTCAATTTACTCCATCATCGATCCCCGGTGCCGGCACCAATGAAATCGTTAATTTTAAGTACTGACTTATCACGTGCTCAGCGGCGAAGGAAAATATCAGCATTTTCGAAATAATAATAAAAAAATATTTCGAAGATATGCGAAGTCCGCCAATCCGCAGTGGGGCTGCGTGGTGGACTATGCCCTGATACCCTCTGTATAGAGGAGGCCTTAGCCCAGCAGGGGGACATGTATAGGCTGTTACTTTTGTCTCTACTTTTTAGACAATATTATTTTGTAAATATACTAATAAATGGAGAGACGGATTTTGTGTTCGGCTATACTGCGAAAACTACACAACCGATCGGAATAATACTTATACCATAAAGATGCAGCGTGTGAAGTTTTTAGAGTATGATATGTTGGTGACTTATCTAGAACCTATATTTTTATTACTAAAAGAAAACTGTATGATCCAGCGAAGCGGGCGGGGAACAACTCGTATTGTACATACGTGTATCGATCTCATTCAGTTCTTCTGTTAAGGATTTAGACGCATGGGCCACGCAATAACACTATATTTGAACAAACGAATGGGCAGGTCCGTTCGGGTAAGTACCACGACCTCACAGAAGACCGGCTTGAAGTGGAAGTGTTATACTTCTGCGTTTCGTCTGGTGAGCGAGGTAGCCGTAGTCCACTTTATTAATAGGTGACAAAGCATCTGCAACCCTACGAGCTTTGCAAATATCAATGGGAAGCGGTTATCGCTTAACATCAAGTGAACCGCCAGCTCGTTTGCAACACTTACATAAAAAAAAAACTACTGTTAAATAAAACTATTTTACTGACTTTGTTGCGTTTAATTTTGTTTAGATTCCAGACATTTTCCAATACTTTGTAACGTACATCACGGCCACGGAACGGTCTAACCTTGAGTGTGGAATATCGAAACTATTGTATAAATAACGAAATACGTTAGCTCATTTCACATTAGGAGTACTGTTTGAAAGACAGTGAAAAACTTTGTATTAAAACAAATCACAGTCAAAAACTTTGAACGCTTGTAACGGGCTTTACTCTTCCGACACCAAGTTGAAGCCCTCCTTAACCATTACTTCATATTTTTATGGATGTTGCTTGAGGGATTTGTATACTCTTATACGCTTGATGGCTGCTCGTCGTGCGCCCCTCATTGCTGTTTGTGCCGGCAGTCTACATAAATCCTTTTTGTACTTTTCGGTAAAGCGGTAGACCTGGAAGGATTTTCTTGTGGTGGCACACTCGATTTCTACTGACTTTCGTTCTCTAACTGTGGAAGAGCTACGCAGCAGCCTCGGCTGTTGCACGAATGGGCAGGCTCGTCCGGGTAAATACCACGGCCTACGGAAGTATGACAAATACTTTCGCGTTTCTTCTGGTGAGTGAAGTAGCCGGAGCTCGATTTTCAAAATGTTGTCAACGCATCTGTAACCCTCGGGTGTAACAGATGTCCATGGGCGCCGGTATTCACTTAACATCAGGTGAACCGCTTGCTCGCTTGTTAACTTTTTACATAACATGAACACCTTTAATAGTTTCTGTTGCGATGCGATTAATACCGAGATACTAAAATACAAATATTGCTAGCTTATGTTCGTCTTCTGTGAAGGCAGACTTTCCCAGGTTGGTTTGTCCATTCGTGCAAATTCAGAAACTGCTACGCGGCTCTGCTGTAGTCGTAAATGCAACGCGTACAACAAAACGATGTATATAATTGATGTTGTTGAGGTCAAAGGAGGAGTCAAAGGTCCAATTATTCTACCACGAGATCTCAAGACATATACGCGGATTTATACAGATGTACCTACCTAGTGGTAGGGATGACTCGGCGGCGGCTATTGTCTTCGACGCCGGGAATAGTGAGTTCAATTCCCACACGGAACACTTGTTCCGTGAACAATTATCTGTATCAGACAAATACTTATTTGTCTGATACAGATAATTGTTCCGGTTTTGGGTGTTTCAAGGAGGGTTGACGCCAGTCAAAACCTAGACAAAATCCATTTACGACATGATTCATATGTTGTAAGTGGTTTACCTCACCTAGGTGGGTTAAGGGGCTGGAGGATGACGATGATGTATCCTCATAGTATTTAAAATTTTCGCTGAGGTCATTAGTGAGTCGCATAATATGATATATACCTACCTCCAGAACCTTAAATCCTCACTTGATGTCTCTGACCACTATGCGTTTGACAGATATTGGAACCGTGTGAACATAATATACAGGGTTCATAATTTGCACCTTTATAATTAAGCAATGTTTCTGGAATATTTTCATGTACATTGTTCCAAGAAGTCTAATATTTGATCATTCGACCATTGTTTCTGTTTCATACATAATATAGCAAGCATTCTAATTTGAGAACTACCTTTATGTTACTTTTCTAAAGAAGTATTTGGAAAACAAAATAAGATGTTGATCTAGTACTCACCATAAGAATTTAATAAATATGTTAAACACTAGATATTTTTCCAGCATCCAATTAGGGTTTTAATAATAATAACTATAATAAAAATAATAAAACTCGCAGACAGCCTGCATTCATAAGTGGCTTAATTTGCGCTTTCAACAACCCTGTATGTGTTTTGTTGATTTTTCAAACGAAAGTATGAGCTGAAGTAATTAAGAGTAGGTGCACGATTTGTTATTACTCTATTCGCTGTAGCATAATCCGGCAAAGTAGATCGGTTGACCGCGCACGTATACGGCAATGGCTGCGTTGGTTCACTCGAAATCGAAGGCTTACAATCATAAATTTAGTCATCCTCGAATTTCTTCTTAATGCACTCATCGAGACCGCAGAGCTTTAGCAGGTAAACGCACAATGTGACGCAACAAAGACACTGCGCCACCCTGCAGCAGAAATCGCCTGTGCACATCTTCCCGCTGAGGCTATTAATTCATTAATGTCCGTTAGGTTTCCGTGTTTATTCTATTAACATTTTCACTAAATCCCCGAATTTGTCGAAGCGATTCTGATAAATTTGATTGATAAATTCATTTTGACTTAAGAGCAACAGATAATCAATTGGACAGAAGATTGAGAGCTATGTTCAAAACTGTGACTATGACGTTTAAAGATCCACTCAAAGAATTCAGAATAAATCGTGAAAATTCAACATTGAAGCGGAACTGGTAATATGATTAGATAGAACTAAAATCTTTATCATTATGCTACTACTTGCATTTTATAATTTTTTCCATAACTCCACTATTACTAAGTACTTTGAGAAGTTGCCACATATTATAAAGTTTTTTAAACTGTAAACTGTAACTGTTGCCTGTTCCCTTTTAAACAAATATTTTTATTGATTTTCCGACGATTTCTCGACGACGAACCTGAGTGCCATGAGTTTTTAGACAAAAATCTCCTTCAAAATTACTTGAAATTAGTCATACTCGCAAAACAAAGTAGGCCTCGATTAACGCTGGATTGACACCTTAAGAAAAAATGACTCCTACGTCTGTGTGCTTACTTTGCAGAAAGGCATTTCATCATAATTCAATAAAATTCATTATACTGGAAGTTTGAAAGAAGAAAGTAAGAGCCTAGCGCATTTAAATATATATGAGGTGATTTTTCATAATGCGTTTGAGGCTGAGCTTACTTTTACGATTGAAAGTATATTTCTTAATAAATGACAACCACTTAGGGCATACATTTGATGATTATGAAAAGTTAGTCAAATCAAACTTTGTTTTATTTTCTTCGGAAAGCATATAACTAAAGAATATTTATAACAATCGTTTAATACAGAACATTTATAAAACGAGTTAAAGGGTTATGCCCAATTGTGTATTTACCACAATTAACAATGACTTGCATTTAAAGGAATACCAAACTATACATAGTTGAAATCGACGTTAATCTTGGAAAAAATTGAAGAAAAGCCAATAGATTTTTCATCTTCATTAGATTTTTTAATTTAAGGAAATTTATGCTAGAATTATCCTCTCGCCGGCATCTTTAATAATGATTTAAGCTATAGTGGAATAAAACTAATGATATTATATACAAATAAGGGGTAGATATGATACTAGCGCAACGAAACTGCGGCACTCAACTTACACCAATTGGTGTAATTAGTTTGCAATTCCATAGATTGCTGTCACTTAACCGTATCATACGTTCTGTACCTATCATCTATTACATTCACTTATACAGCGTGTCGTTACAACCGAGACAATAAATGAACCCACATATAGACGATAACTTTTTAAAATTCCATTAAGCTTCTTTAAACATCAATATTTACCGAGTTATTAAATTTTACAAAATAAAAAGAATTTTAGAACACCCTTACGTATAAAACTGTAACGTAATGTTCATTTGTAAAGGTCACAAAGCATATATATAAATGGGTGGAATGAATTTAAAGGCCCATTTACACGGTGCCAGTTTCTTGCCTGTTGTATACAATTAAATTGAAGCAATAAATAAGTTGCATGGTCTAAACAACAAATGGTCTAACCAATTATTGCGCGCAATTTATTGCATTCAATTATTGCTCTTGTATGTACAAGAAAATGGGCCTTAAGAGATAAAACATACTGTTAGAAGGAGACCTGTAATGCGACGTTGTGGCAACGAATGAAAAAGTCTCTGAATGTATGAATCAGTCAGTTGTAGTCGTATAGGTGTTACAAATACTGTTCCTTTTTTATTTATTTGTTTGAAAAATATATTTTTTTAATGATAGATTTTTTAACGTTTTATATTTTTTATGATTATTGGCAAGTAGCGCTAGACGTGTGTTCATTTATGGTCGCGGTTGTAACGAGCGCTGTATATTATGTCATATAATGTAAAGCGGAACATGGTCATCTTTAATGAAATGTTATTGAATAAAACGCATTTTATGTAGGTAAAGTGTATTTTATTCTTTATTATTTTCTTTTCTCCACTGCGCTTTGAAGCCCGTGTCCCGGAACAGCTGATCCTGGTCTTCGAGATCGAGCTTCAACGAAGACTGCAATTGAAATACAGAGGGTATCAGGGCATAGGCCACCACGCTGCCCCACTGCGGATTGGCGGACTTCACATATCTTCGAAATATATATTTTTTTGTAATTATTTCGAAAATATGCGGGTTTCCTCACGATGTTTTCCTTCACCGCGGAGCACGTGATAAGTCAGCACTTAAAGTTAAAAACTTCATTGGTGCCGGCACCGGGGATCGAACTCAGGTTGCTCGAGTATATTGAATTAAAGGCGAGCGCCCGGACACTGAGCTATCACGGCTCGCTTATTTATATTATTCTAAAAGCAATGGTTTTTCTTAACGGGACGACATTTGATGACTCCGTGAAGATGAATCAAACACACATGTGTGTAAACACTACGTCTATTTATTACGTAATAACTTGATTAGTTAGCCAACCATGCATTAATGCGAGCCCCGTGGGAGTGGGCGTCAGTCAAGTTCCCTGGCAGCGAAAACAAAACATCATATAAAAGAGGAGTTAAGGGATTTTCTAGTATAGTACTCATTTTTTCTCCTATTTTCTCTATTTTTTTCAATTTGTTTTCTTCTTATTAGAACCGGAAATGAAGGGAACTCACATGCAAGCAAACTATACAATGAATAGTATGTGACACACTGCATCCGGAATACCAACATAACAATTTGTGGTCTGATTTGGGGGTCATTTTTTTTTTTGTACCATTCCCATTCTCCCCTTTTCCATTTCCAATTATTGCCCGTGCGTGTGGCAATTATTGGAAATACTGCAGTGGGCAATGTTAAAATAATTTCCAAGGCACTTACGACCGTTGATCTCGAGGGCTTCTCGTGCATCTTGCTTAGCAGCGCGTTCGCCCCGGGCCTAAGGAATAAAGATTCGTGGTAAATTTAAAAAGTCAACAACTAAAGATTTCGCCTTTGCTATTGATTTTTTTTCTGAGTCAACATAAATATCTCTAACTTTGTAAAAGCAATCTTCAATCAATTCACAAAATAAAAACCATAATGCATGAAAAATCGGTGTTTCTACTTGAACATCCTATAGGAGAAATTTAATGTAATATATATTTTTATTCAAGTAAATTCATGAGTCTTTTACCTCTGTTGTTACGTATATTTTTAATAAATCATTAGCTAACGCACGCATGAGCACATGCGCGGCCCTACCCACAGCCAAGGGACCAAACCCGTGGGTTCTAGCTAGCCTACCGGTTCTGCGTCAGATGAAGCTTTAATAGTCTCGGGACTGAAAGCAAAAACATCAGTTAATATAAGATGCAAGTTTAATAAATCTACTTTTGACTGATTTATTTCATTATAAGAATATTGATATATCGTTACGTAATCAACTGGAGGATACCATAATCTCTGAAGGAGTCAATGTACCAATGAAAGATAAACAAAAATTGGTAATGTTTCATGTGTTACTCCGGGATTCAATAGTTTTCGAAATAGTGTCATTATCTTTTACAACCATTGCCGCACCCTTCTTTTGTTTCTGTTTTGCTGAAAATAAGTGGTACTTTTAAGAAAAAACAAAGTTTATATATGTCACGAGTGTTCGTCTGATACCTATAATCAGAAACTAACGTAAAGGAGGGATAAAATTTGAAGAGCTCTGGTCTAGAACCCTCCACTTCAGAATCCACTCAACAGACATCATATCCAGTGCGAAAATAAAAAACAAACCTTTGAGGGCGGTCTCTAGTCGGCTTCCATCTTTGTCGCTCCATGAATTCCTAAAATAAAACAGTATTAATGGAAAACTTTAATTACTTATCGGCAGCAAACAATTAAAATAAATATTATATAATTATAAAAAACCGGCCAAGTGCGAGTCAGACTCGCGGACGAAGGGTTCCGTACCATTATCTATAAAAACGGCAAAAAAATCATTTCTATTGTATGGGAGCCCCACCGAATATTATTTTATTCTGTTTTCTAGTATTTGTTGTTATAGTGGCAACAGAAATATATCATCTATGAAAATTTCAACTGTCTTACTATCGCGATTCATGAGATACAGCCTGGTGACAGACAAACAGACAGTGGAGTCTTAGTAATAGGGTCCCGTTTTACCCTTTGGATTTTGCGAACTCATTTACACTTATAATAACGTTTGTTGTCTAATAGTGGTCACAGTCTACGAAATTACCTGTGTGGTCATGTCCTCGGCTCGGGTCGTGTGGAAATACTCGTCTCCGCCGCTGTCGTCCTCGTCGGTGGTGGTCCTAAACCGGCGCACCCTCGTGGTGGTGGGGTATTCGACCGTCACTTTCTCGTTTCTAAAATTGATGAAATGGAATCAGACTTAAGCAATTATTCGATTTCGTCGTACACACAAAAATGTTGTAGATGTGATTGATGGGAGTTTAACATTTTCAAAGTTAGAGGCAGGATCAATGCGTTAGCTCGGATTACGGATGACGATTTCCGATACACATTTCAAAATGCGATTACACGCTATGCTGTGAGTGCCATCGCCACACTGGATAAAAATTTGTGTGCTCAATAACTAGTTTTTTTTTTATGTCAAAAGTTGCCAAACGAGCAGACGGTTCACCTGATCTTAAGTGAATACCGCCGCCCATGGACATCTGCTACACCCGAAGGTTACAGATGCGTTGACGACCCTTTGAAAATTGGGCTCCGGCTACCTCACTCGTCAGACGAAACGCGAAAGTATTTGTCACACTTCCACTTTACGTTGGTTTTCTGTGAGGTCGTGGTACTTACCCGGACGAGCCTGCCCATTCGTGCAACAGCCGAGGCTGCTGCGTGGCCCTACCACCGTTTTTTTCCGACGTTGGTGATTTCGTACTAAGCAATTAAAAAATATACAAATAAAAAGTAATTAAGTACAGACATAGTATGGATCAGGAATGACTGATAAAAGTTTTTATGTTAAGACAACAAATTCCTCACATTTTTAACCGACTTCAAAAAAGGAGGAGGTTTCTCAATTCGACCGTATATTTTTTATTTTTTTTATGTGTGTTCGCGGATAACTTCGTCGTTTATGAACCGATTTTGATGATTATTTTTTTGTCGGAAAGGAGATATCCTAATGGTGGTACCATGGCATCCCAGAGAAATCGAGGGCCATCATTGAATGTTATAGGTATTAACAATGTTATTAATTTTCTGATTGAAGTCGGTTTTTTTTTTTTTGCTAAAAATAATACTTGTATGTGCTACTTGCAAGCTTGTATTTAATTGGGCCGCTTGTCATTTAAATGTGTCAGGCGACTAATACACTTCAAAATCTGACGGAGACGGGGCTGTAATATAATCACTAAACAAGTCGTGAAGTCATTTCAGTCTGCGTGTGTGTTTCGTCTGGTGAGTGAGGTAGCCGGTGCCCACTTACGTAAAAGGTGGCAACGCATTTGCAACCCTACGGGTGTTGCAAACGTCCATGGATCAAACCATATCATATCAATTCGAAGACTACTAAATGAAACCATGTTGACGGATCTATCGCGTTTATTTTGGTCTTAACAGACTACTTACGGGGCGGACTATACCGTGACCGTAAACGCTGTAAAGAGTTCGAAACGTCGGGAATATAAACGTGATATCAAAAATAAGCGTGATAAACCCCCAAACACAGTTTCATTTAGTAAAGTGAAGTCGCGTAAACACAAGAAAATAATTTGAAAACTTCCTAGTAACAAAATCATATTTTATCAGCACTAGCAACTAATAATAATACTTTTTTTGTAACCAATAAACTCATTATTATGGGGAAATATCCCCATAATAATGAGTTTATTGTTTACAAAAAAAGTGAAAACAAAAAAACTAACCGCCAAGTTACCGCTGCGGTGGAACGGGAACGCCAGTCGAACATGTTCTTGATGGGTGCGTTCTCCTTGTTCTCCAGGAGCTCTCGCTCCAGTTTATCGACGAAGCGGTCCGGCGGCCGCTCAGACGTGGTCCTTTCAGGCGCTGAACACAAATGAATCTTGTCACTAAACCCCATTTGTCTTTTTGTATCAATCAATCTGGTCGCCGTGACAACTTTATTATCATCAGCTTATGCCTAGACCACGATTCGCAGCTGCTACTGAAGTAGCATGCTCGGGATTTACAGAGGAATCATAAAGTAGATGTATTTAAATATTATAATCCTCTAGTAGCAACAGCCTCGCAGAAGACCGAAGTGGGAGTGTTATACTTTCGCGTTTCGCCCGTTCGACAAAACACCTGCAATCCGATGGTCACCTGATGTTGATCACTGAACATCAGGTGACCATCAGACCGACAGCTCGGCTGCCAGCTACTCATATATCAAAGGGAAATACTTAGAAAGAGAAACCTTTGAACGCCTGTATCGGACTCTCCTCGTCCGGCTCCAGGCTGAAGTCCTCCTTGTCTATTAGCCGCTCGTACTGGTCCGGGTGGGGCTTGGCCACTTGTTTGGCCACTTGTTTGGCCACTTGCTTGGCCACTTGCTTGGGCGCCTGCTTGGCCACCTGCTTGGGCGGCTTGGCGGCCTTCAGCGATGGGGGCGGCTCGGGCGTTTGCTGCTCGCTGCTGATCGCGGCACTGTCGTCGTACGCCTCCGAGTCGCCTTTCTCATAGTCGTCGTACTGCGCCTCCTCGCTGCCTTCGCCCTTGTCATCGGGCTCGGCCATATGGTGCCTCACCTGCGTGGTGGCATCGTGAAGTAATGCACTTAGTGTGGTGGGGCCACGCAACAGCCGAATGGACAGCCACGTCCGGTAGTATTACAGCCTCACAGAAGACCAGCGTAAATTGGAAGTATGACAAATACTTTCGCGTTTCGTCTGGTGAGTGAGGTAGCCGGAGCCCAATTTTCAAAAGGTTGTCAACGCATCTGTAACCCTCGGGTATGGCAGATGTTCATGGGCGGCGGTATTCACTTAACATCAGGTGAACCATCTGCTCGTTTGACAACTTTTCGCATAAAAAAAAGAAAAAACGAAGACCGGCATGAAATGGAAGCGTTTCATCCGGTGACTGAGATAACCGGGGTCCACTTTTTTATAAGCTGTCAACGCATCGGCGACTCGGGTGTGTGTCCATGGGCGGCGGCATTCATATAGCATCGGGTGAACCGCCTGCTCACTCGACAACTTTTCGCGTAAAACAAATATCGCAACTACCCCGACCGACAGAATAGAGAAGAAACGCACGGCTGTGAGCAGACATCGTAACCGCCCAGCGTTAATTGTCACGAAAACGGTCGAGTCGCATGTGTTTACTCAGAAAGAGTGGAGACATAATACATGATCTAACATGACCTTTGACATGTCTTACAAGACCTTTTCCCAGATCTTCGTGCAAAGCATCTTACTAAGAGGCCGTATTGTATGTACTCTGTATGTTTGAGTGAACTCGCGAAGTAAGCGTGTCAGAACAAAGACAGAAAATAAGGTGTTGTTTGACTTCTATACCATACCAGGTAAAACATTAGATTATGTAACTTTGTTATATTAATACCTTGCACTGCAACCGATGAGTCAGCTAGAAACATACAAGTCTGACAACGACTTTTGGGGCATGAGACAATAACGCCAATCTGCTCATAACTCACATAATACTCCAGCATGTACCTCACTCATATGAACAACCGTTATAGTAGTTCCGAGTTCATAACCAATCCGCAAAACATCTGGCACGACTCTATTAGATCTCATCAGTTCGTGTCTCTTAGAAATGTCGTTTTTAAACCTCACCGGTCCGCAGAGCAGCGGGTACGGCGACCTCGACCGCCTGGCGGTGTGCATGGGGCAGGGGGAGAGGGGGCCCGGGGTCAGGGTACGCTGGCCAAGCATGTTCGTGTGCGAGAAGTCGCAGACGAGCAGGAGCCGCGGGTGTTCGGCTCCGTGCCGCACCGCGCCGCAGCCCACCGCCTGCAGCGTCCACACCGCGATCTGGCTGAAGTGGCCCCACACGGTGCCCCTGTAGGGGGCAAATCAAAACGAATCAAGCCATTTTTATGCAACACAGGAGTATCACTGTATCGCACTCGCCTATTGATTCTAAATACTACCGCCGGTTCGGGAAAAAAGCCACTGTACTGAGAAGAACCGGCGAGAGAAACTCAGTGGGGACAAATAAAATATAAGAACTCGGATTGAAAGAGTGTGAAGAGAGTGTGTTATCATTTAAATAATCATTAATATTTTAATAGTCTTTAACACACAGAAGTTCTTTCACTACTTTTTTAAATTTAGCTATTGATGTATTTTGAACGTTTTCTGGCATTATGTTGTAATTACGTATACATTGTCCCATAAAAGATTTACTTATTCTACGCAGTCTACTTGTGGTAGAGTGGAAAAATCAGACCAAAGATATATTATAGTCACAGAAACGAGCGGAAAATACAAATGTACATAATTATAACGTTGTCAGAAATATTTGAAATTTCGTGTGCATCAACGGGAATTCAGTAGAAGGACGAATGGTAAAGTAAGTGAAAGAACATTTTGATTTCGTCGAAATTTCAATAGTTAAAAGATTCAAAACTCGAGGATGATTGGAAAATCAGCAACATACTGTGAATGGAGTTAATGAAGGCGACACGCCTGGTCTAAACCTCGTTTATAAGTGACTAAGCTCGAGGGCTCCCGAGGGAGCCTCGGCTGAGGCCCTCACTCTAATAGAATTTATACTAGATTGGGAAAAAAGCATGACTACGAAACGTCTAGGATTTGAACCAGATCTTTGAATTATTTATAACATTATCGTCGAATGCACCGATAAGCCAAGCGGTCTTTTTGACCGACTTCGAAAAAGGAGGAGTCGTCAATTCAATTCGTCGGAATCTTTTTTTTTAAATCATTCATTTACACCGATTACTCGAAGGCCTCAACCGATTTGGAAAATTCTTCTTTTATTGGGTTCGGTGTATCTTCCATGCGGTCCCTTATTAAGTTCATTGGTGCCCTGGAACCCCGGACTCCGGAGATACCCGACTTCTCAACATCAAACAGAAACTGTACACTGAGAGATCGAAGTCGGTTTTGCTTTTGAAAAGATTATCGCCGCCGTGAGAGTCGAACCCGCGTCTACGGGTTTCGCGCCGAGCCGCTTCAGCCGCCGAGCTAAACGGCCGATTGCCGCGCCGGCGTAAAGGCCCATTTACACGATGCCATTTTCTTGTACATGCAAGAGCAATAATTGAATGCAATAAATTGCGCGCAATAATTGGTTAGACCATTTGTTGTTTAGACCATGCAACTTATTTATTGCTTCAATTTAATTGTATACAACAGGCAAGAAACTGGCACCGTGTAAATGGGCCTTAAACCTCGCCGCCCTTAACTGCACCCACGACCGGCACGCACTTGGCCGTGAGCCGGAACGGTGCCGTCAGCTGCTTGGGCTGGACGCGCCTCCGTTCGCCCCACCAGGCGTCGAACACGCGGCGATGGCGCGCTGCGCGCTCAGCTCGTCCGACTCGCTGGAGCGGCGCCAGCGCACCTCGCCGACGGTCTGCCCGGCGTACGGGTAGCGGACTGTGTGATAGAGTGGCCAAAAGGGATGAAATAAATATCAATTATAAATATATATATATATATATATATAAATAATGAAATATAGTCTGTGGGGGAGGCCTATGTTCAGCAGTGGACTCAAACAGGCTGAAATGGTGATCACTCACCACACGACACGCGAAAGTAATAAAACTTCACGCAGGTCTTATTTATTTTTTATTTATCTAAAAATGTACTGTTTACACATCAACTTAAGGCCAAACAAAAGGCAAACTTAATGCTAATAAGCATTCTCTTCCAGTCAACCCTGGGAGTAGTGAAAATTTGACGTAGATGCAAAACAAAATACAATTTAAAAAAAAAAAGAAAAGCACAAAAAGGTACATACTATATAAATGTACTAAACGCAAACATTAAATACATATATAGTCCAATATCTACATAGTCAGGTACATACAGGTCTTCTGTGATATCATGGCATCCCCGCCCCCCGATCCGCGGAAGGATCTGCCCAATTATGCAACAGAGAAGACTATTGCGTGGCCCTACCACAGTTATCTTGAAACTCGGGAGTTTATAGTATTTCATTTTGATCTTAAATTCCCTACGTTTCGAACGCTTAACAGCGCTGACCCTGTGGCCATTAGGGCTGTAAACTCTTTTATTATACGTATAATTAATTGTGCGTCTATTTATTTGTTGATCTGAGAACACACAAAATAGATGAATCAAACCTGTTGCTCGGCAATCGTCGTGCACAAAGTGACACTGGTCTGCTAATCTTTGTGCGAGAAGTGCAAGTTCGCGGTCCCAACCCTAAATAGAAAAAATATGTGTCAATTTATGTACGCACATATGAAGTTATACTTATTTATTGTAACAAAAGAAAAATAACTAAAAATGTAATCCTCTGTGTCAGTACTCTTTATTTGTGAAAAATATGTTAATTGCAATTTATAACGGTTTAATTAAATAACTTGGAATTGTTATTGGTTTCCATGGTATCCATAACTTAATCATGTCTCATTTTGGACGTCGCGCGCATCGTAAAAATTTTACTCTCATAATTTCGCCAAAAGAAGTACAACTTCAAAAGTTGTGAATACAATGTTGTTTACACTTCTTAGAGCATGCTGCCCTTTACAAAATATTTACTCGATCAAAAATTTAGGAGGATAGAATTGAAATTGTTTTAGGCGCTTGTCATTGTTTTCGATCGATGTATGTAATCGATTAGCCAGTGACTATTTGAATAGCATTGCAATTGTTTTGAATTATGGTTTTTTTTTTCCGATCATAGTTTATTTCTAATCGATGAATCGATCGAATATTTGAACTGGTGATTCAACGGATCGTTAAATACTCACCACCATCATCATGACTTCGGGCCGGGGCAAATGGGCGCCGCCTCTAACCCTTTCGTTGCCTGACGCTATCCGTTGACGGCGCCTGAGTTAGATAAGGATATAAATAGAAAGACAATTTTTTAAATTTATATTTCACAACAACTGACCTATAACAAACCGTGGACGTCGGATTGGGAATATATTACATTGTTAACAAAAAAAACTGGCCAAGTGCGAGTCAGACTCGCGCACGAAGGATTCCGTACCATTACCTATAAAAACGGCAAAAAAATCATGGCAGGGGCAAGATATTGTCATCAACGTCTAAAATGCTTTATAATACATCGCCGCGGCGCAGTCTTGGTGTCAGCAGTGGCAGATTTGCCCCAAGGCCCAATAGGCCCGGGCCTAGGGCGGCCACATATTAGGGGCGGCCAATCGGGACAAAAAATTCACTGCTAATAACAAGATATATGATGGGCGCTGAGAAAGGGGCGGCTGAAACTTATTACATGGCGGGGGCGGCCAAGACTACAAATCCACTGGTTGTCAGGCTTATCAGTAGAAATACAAAAACTCGGATATCAGTTTGTACAGGGGAAAGTTAAAGGAGAAAACAAACTCACAGACTCCAGTGGTTTGGCCACATTAAGAGACTGGAAATTAACATCGCGGTGTATACAGCATTTCATGTTGTGATGTAATGAACAGAGATCAGCAGAGCTGCAATATAGCCGGCGGGAAATGGCGCAAAAGCGAAACCGTTTGAGAGTTCTCATATCGGAAGAAATGACACACGTTGGGTCATTGAGCCGATAAAGTAAATGCTAACCAACTGAAGAACATTATTTAGTAATATAGTAATATTTTATTAATTTTATCACCTATTCAGTTTTATATAGGTTAGATTTTGAAGGTTTGATTATATTAGATTTAGTGATATTTTAAACTTGTTAGTTCTAATAGAGATTATTGTTATTTAATTATAGTACCTTATGCTAGGTTTGTTTTTTTTTGGTAAATCATGTATTTTGGAAATTACATTTCGATACAAATTACTGAGTAATGAAATATGCATAATATTTTTCGATCTTGCCGACGTAATAATAAGAAAATATGAACTGGTGTTTTTCACAAAAGAAAGAACTTTAAAAAAAAGGGAAAAACTAACAAATAGACAAAAAATATAAAGAAAGCAATGATCTGGAATAATAAAAAAATAAGTGTGTAAATGATCGTGATACGAACCACGGCCGTCTGTTTTGGGGCCGCCCGACTACCGACCGAGCTATTACAACATTTTTTTTGCGGCGAAATTTACCTTGCTGGAGCCGTTTCCGAGATTCCGATTATATATATATATATTACTTAATTTTGCTTGACTAACTGAACAGAAAACCTATTTATAAATAGCGGGCTATTTTTCAGCTTAGGCGGTTTCTAACGACTAATATGAAACATAGTAACGTGTGAAGTAGTTTTGTTTCTACTCCCTACGTTCACTCTATCTATAATACGATAATATTTATGTTCAATAGGCTTTTACAATTTAATATATTTTATAAACATGTGAGAACAACTTTGATATGTGTGTAGCGCTCGCATAATAAAATCCGTTTGCTTTTATATCAACTAAATCGTAAACATATTCTTATTATGATTAGATAATAATATTTTTCAATACCTTAAAATGTATAACTTAAGGTTAAGGTTATGTATAACTTAAGGTTATTATCATCTGCCTGAATTTATCCCGCCTAGGTGAGGACACAACATGTGAATGATATTTTAAGTGATTTTGTCTAGAATTTATACGACCGGCCGCCTACCTGACGATCAATATGGGAATAAACACCCAGATCCGAAAAAAATCCGAATCTATGGCGCACACAAACACTCGTCGCTTGTGGGAATCGAACCTAGGTCCCCGGGTGCCTAAGCCAAACACTTGTGACAATTCCTTAACACCCTCCTATAAGACGTGTGGCGATTTGAATAGCAAGCTCCATCGTTTCACCTAAAAAATTGTTCTAATCCGCCGCTGAATACTGCCACGTAGACAGCACATAAGTCATACATGAGACAGCACATAAGGCATACATGAGACAGCACATAAGTCATACATGAGACAGCACATAAGGCATACATGAGACAGCACATAAGTCATACATGAGACAGCAATTAGCATCCATCGACTTCCCGCACATTTGCACAGGCCACTCCTAGATGGAGAGTAAGGTTGTCCCACACAGCGATGACCAATACGAGGCTGACTCGAGAACCTTTATTGGCCATAGTCATACAGTCGACGTTAATATTCAAGAACTTATGGATACACGCGCGTATCTGCGGTAACGCTCCTAGTATTGACTGTTTGATAAATTAATAGATGGTGCTAAGGATTGCAAATGATGACATCGTTTCGTAATGATAAAGATCTTGACACGTAGCGTCAGAAAATTATAAAAACACTAACTTTTACCCGCGACTACCCTCGCGTTGAAGCCCTCAAATAAGTACGTTTTTATATTTTTTTTATTAATAAAAAGAATCCGATGTACTTTTTCATAACTCGAACTCAAAGGGTAAAACGCGACTATTACTAAGACTCCGCTGTCTGCCTGTCTATCTGTCTGTCTGTCCGTCGTTCACCAGGCTGTATCTTATGAACCGTGATAGTAAGACAGTTGAAATGTTCAAAGATGATGTATCTGTTACCGCTATAATAAAATATACAAAAAAACGAATAAAAAATATTTAAGTGGGGCTCCCATACAACAGTCTTTAATTTTTTTGCCGTTTTCATAGATTTTTGCCGACTCGCACTCGCTGTATTTTTAATACCTCAAAGAATATATGTACAAAGTTTCATGATAATCGGTTGAGTAGTTACGGCATGAAAGCGTAACAAACACACTTATAATCACATTTATAATATGCATTAATATGTTATTAATATATTAAGTAGGGATAACCCAACCTGTTGATGTAGTGCACTATGAAATGTTTCAGCTCGCTGGTGAATCTGATCTGCGTGTAGTTCCGACAGGAGTTGCCCGGGCCCGGCTGCAACGTGGTTACGATATTTTGTATCATTTTGAAGCGAAAGAGGCATTCATCAAGTCTGCTTCCTAATAGTCCCTCAAACATTGCATAAATGCAACGTATACTAACAAGTGTTTAATTGTCACTTTAAGTGCTGACTTATCACGTGCTCCGCGGTGAAGGAAAACATCGTGAGGAAACCTGCATATTTTCGAAATAATAACAAAAAATATATATTTCGAACAGCCTACAAATGTCCCACTGCTGGGCAAAGGCCTCCTCTGTAAAGAGGGTATCAGGGTATAGTCCACCACGCGGCCCCACTGCGGATTGGTGGACTTCACAAATTTTCTAAATATTTTTTTTTGTTATTACTTCGAAAATATGCAGGTTTCCTCACTATGTTTCCCTTCACCGCCGAGCACGTGATAAGTCAGCACTTAAAATTAACAATTTCATTGGTGCTGGCACCGGGGATCGAACTCAGGTTGCTCGAGTAAATTGAATTAAAGGACACTGAGCTATGTAAAACAAAAAAAGTATGTAGAAAAACAACGTAAAGAAATAAAACTGTAAAACTCACGATGGGAAATTGGCAGGCGACATGGTGCCCTTTACCCTGGCACAGTCTGCGGTATCTTACCGCGCAGTACGGCTGGTCGTCTATCAGTACTGAACGTACGAACGGCACACACAGAAACGTCGCTAGCAGCCTCGGGAACATGCTTATTTATCTGCAACACAGTTTAAGATTAGTCGTGGTACAACTGTGGCCGTGGAACGGTTGTGTATGCTTTGCTTGAGATGCATGCGTAGTATAACAGTGGCCGTGAAACGGTTGTGTATGCTTTGCTTGAGATGCATGCTCCATCTCATTTATTCATCGAAATAACAAATTTCATATATCGATAGTCGTTTTTTTGGGTTTCGTACTCAAAGGGTAAAACGGGACCTTAATACTAAGACTCCGCTGTCTATCACCAGGCTGTATCTTATGAGCCGTGATGGTTAGACAGTTGAAATTTTCACAGATGATGTATTTCTGTTGCCGCTGTAACAACAAATAATAAAAAACGTAATAAAAATATACTTTAGTGGTACTCCCATATAACAGACATGATTTTGTCCCGTTTTTAAAGATAATGGTACGGAACCCTTCGTGTGCGAGTCCGACTTGCACTTGGTGGTTCTTTGAATGTACCGCCGTTTCGAAATTGGGTTCCTCTAACGGAGCAGATATAGACGAAAGAAAGGTATCCTCTTTTTGGAACGAAGTTCCTTATCGCGCGTTGTGAAAGGGGGCTAGACGAAAAAAAAGTATAGTAAGCTATTGTAAGCTTTGCGGCGTGCGCATGTTTCTCTGTCTGTCTCTCTCTCTCTCTTATAGAAAGCAAGCCAGATATTTTCATTTCTATTTCGCATTGAACAGTGTGGTGTCGCGACGATTATTTTTGTTGAGTGTATACAGGTTTTTTGTACATAATAAATAATAAAAAATAATAATAATAAGGAATACTGACAGTGTATCTGCACAAGTTCCGGACAAGGAACTTCGTTCCATCCGGGTGTCCCTTGACACCTCTCAATTAATTTTTGGTAATTTTTTTCCTCAAATCATTTACATATACATTGAAATATTAAACATTTTCTAAGAAATAACTTGAGATCGATCAACTCCAGTTTCCAGAGGTTATTATCACTAACGTATTAATTTATGCACCTTAAAAAATTCTTCAAAAACCGGGAATTGGAAGCCAAAGAATGATCTTCCGAATGATCAGAATGATCAATTCAAAGAGTTTAACAATCATTTTGGCAACTCAAATGACATTTGGAAGCCATTTGACAGCTGATTAGTTAATTTCAAAGATGATCAGTGTTTCGGAAACCGGGCGTTAGTGTAATATTTACCTGCACAAATATATCCGTACAAATAATACAGAAATAATAATCTGATACCCCAAAGTTGTTTGACATAATACGGTAGTCATAATATTGACACAGTCACCTCCGTTGTAAGTTGAGATGGCATGTGAGAAAGTAAATAAATGCTATCAACGGAACAGACTGGCGTTTCCTTAATACGCCAAAATGTGAGATAATATTTTCAGTGTACTATAGTAGACCTGCTAGAATGGCTTTCTCGGTGATAATATTTCAAGATATTCCAATTAAAATTTTTTAAGATTATTTTTCATTTTTAATTCGTCTCTGCACTCAATATGAAACTTCAAATTGTAATTTTTTTATACTTCGGCGCAGCCCGATTCGAGCCTTCTTCTTCTGTCTCCTCAGATGTTGAAAGTGTCTATGGGCGGCGTGGATCACTTACCACATGACCCACTTGCTTGTTTGCCCCCTTTTCCATAAAAAGGTTACCGCTTAAATAACTGCGTCTCTGTTTTTTATTTAATATTTTAGGACACATTTTTACACAAGGTTCTCTAGTCCCAAACTAAGCAACGCCTGTACTATGAATACTAACTTATAAAACTATTTATATTTTCCTTTTGTAAATAAATACATATTATACGTATATAAACACCCAGACACTAGAACTATGTTCATCACACAATATATTTCCTGTAGTGGGGATCGAACCCACAGCCTCTGACGCAGGTACACTACCTACTACGCCAATTTTGTCATAGCGGACATCTTTCATTGTAGATGTAAGAAACTGTCTAATAGGTAATTGGGACGTTTCGATCTAAGTATTTTTCAAACAGCAATACGATTTTTCTTTGAGATTCTACAACAAGTCCGTAGCAATCACGCGGAAATTGGTGGCAGAATCATACCAACCATGGCTAAATGTGCACGAGAAAAACATTCGCAGAACGGCTATTAACTAAACATTTTACCAGCCCGATGCCGTCTCACTCGTATCGTATACTAATGAAGTTAAGAAAATATTATACCTACTTATGCAAGAAATAAGTACACTTACATAATAGTCTAGCTTAAATTCACATCACTATCGTATCCACAAATTAACACAGGCGAGCACTAACACATTTTAAAAAAATAAGCAGCCTCGTATCATTGTAACACGAATATTTTTCAAAATCCAAATTTAATTTGCAAACAATTATTATATCATTAACTTTAGGCGGGCTAATGCAAACCATTCACATTTTTTTCATTTGTAAGTTGAAATGGGGCTGGATCTAATAAAACCGTTGCTAATTGTTATATAGAACTCGGCACAACTTATAATAATTAAATCAAATAAGAAAATGCGAACCGCTGTCTTTACGTCCATACAATGAACGATCGGGCGAACTAATGTTTTTAAAACCGCTCCATTGTTTGGTATATGCGATTGTTAAATACAAAGCCGCATACTGGACGCGACGGCTGGATCTAAAACAAGATCCGTGTTGTCAACTAATAACAGAAATCCGGTGTTTCTGGGCAATTAATGACCTCTATACACCTATTTCAATGATGTTGTATTAAAGAGTACGCATGTCCATAATGCGTGGCGTACAAAAATTGATCCGCTTTACATTATATGACACAGAAGTGAATGTGACAGATGATATAGAACATATGATACGGAGAGATCCGTGGGGTCCCCGCACATCAAACTTTTTAAGTTTATGTCCTAGGCTTAACGCTGCGGCTGGTGACAAGAGAGCTGGTTCTTTTCTCGCTCAAAGGTTAAGCATAACTGTTCAGCGAGGAAATGCAGCTAGCGTTCCTGGCACCATGCCGCGTGGATTAGGTTTATTAGATAATATGTAATTTTAGATAGATTTAATCTTGTAAATATTAGAACGCATTAAAATGTTATAACTTAACAATTAAAAAAAACGGAAAGAGATAACAGTATGTAATTACAATCTAACTAAACCAATTGGTGTAATTTGAGCGCCTCATTTTCGATGCGCTAGTGCCATATCTACCTCGTATTTCTAAATAATATCATTGCCTGTTCCTCACTGATACTCTATTACTACCCACACATCTATTTTAAAATTTTACGTGTAAAGTGAAACTCACCAAACACATGTAGAAAATAAATAAAACAAAACTATAAAATAAAATGAATCAAAAGTCATTAATATATTATTTTAACAATACAACATTGGACACATATTGACGAACTTGAATAGGTTATGACATGCTAAAGATGTCTGTCAACATCTGCTATTATAGCAAATTAAGAAAAGAACAGAAGATACATAATTATATTAATTTAGTTTAAATAAATAATTATTTATTATTTAAACTAAATTAATATATTGTTACCATTCTTTACTTTTACTTTAATCTCTCGTATGAATTGTTAAACAACTGTCCCGCAAACAACTCCTTATTATTACTATGGAGTTGTTTTCGGGAGCGAAATTTAAATAAGTTTTGGAGATGGAATCATTTTAATATATTGAACCCCTTCCCTTTTAGCTCTAAGACAAGTATGGTTTCACCGGGTTCACGAGCGTGAAAAAATACTAAATTTACGGAAAATTTACTTAACAAGCTTTGGTCTGAAATAGTAGGTAGATTTGCTAAATTTCGCAAACCAGTTTATTCTGCCTTTGTTTTATTAGACTTATAGTTTCACTTTAACCATCTTTCCCATCAGGTTGAGAAATACTAAAGAATATTATTAGAAAAATCTAGCGGCAAAAGGACAATTACTTACCCCCTTTCTTTCTATCTTGAGTTTGAGTTGTATATCTTTATTTTTTAATCAAACGTAAACAACTTTTGTCGAAGGAATTCAATTAATCATCCGATCTACACTACTACCACAGTAAGATTTGTTTACGATTTGTTTATATATACAAATGTTTTAACTGCTCATATTGTTACGTTCAGATCATATTACTTATAAGTATTTATGATATGACTTTGTAAGTACTTTTGTTCATAGAAGTAATAGTTCATTTTTCTTTCAAAACTTGTGCAAGTTATTATTTATCGTAGATTACTACATTTAACAACTAGCTTTGTTAACCATTCGATTATTTAAAAAAAATTAGAAATTCAATTCTTGTTGTAATAATAGTGATTTGCAGTGCCGCAAATTGCGAAGAAATACAGATATACATGAGCAAGCGAACAGTACGAAGTATTCATTTAATTCCCTTCTAGCTTCTAAACTAGCTAGCGGTTGACCATCCTAGTCAGCGCTGGATTTATTGATACTCATAACTAGTGCCCAGGGCGGAAAAGTTTAGAAAACAATAAAAGAAATTTTTTCTGCGGGATTGGAACTTACGTCTTCCGTGTATCATACCTGGACGCTTTACCACTGCTACGCGGCCGATGAGTTCTGTCCATTTTCATTGAATTTTTACCAATGCTTGGCTTCCTTGCCTATTGAAATATTGTTTTGCTTATTGAAATATATTTTTTAATTTTAGTGCTAGTCTTTGCACTCGAGAGGAAACTTGGAATGCGTTGGAGTATATAAGGATTTTAAATAGGGAAAGGGTTTAAAATGATGCAAATAGATAGTTAACTTCGGACGATTCTTACTATGTATTAAAACGAATGACAACGAGGGTAAATAATAAAACATAAGGAGGATTAACAACCTGTCTTAAAATTAACTTAATCTAACACTCGAAAACATTGCCTGGACGAAAGACGCAGGCGCTTTAACATGCCCCCAGGCGTTGAAAGCCACGATTTCAACCAGAATCAGGTGACACTGGCAATGGACAGATTCTACTGAACGACCTCCGGATGACTCCAGCTGAGGTTCTG